TTTATCAATATTTTCGGTCAAATGGATCCGTTTGTGTTCATTGAAGTCATGGGTGTTGTGGCACTCGAACTGACAGTTGTTTGAATTGCATTTAAACACTTGCGGCGCTTTGCATGCGGACAAGTGGTCGACCAACGCGTGGCGGCCCTTAAACGGCAGATCACAGAGCGGACAGGTCTTCAGCGCATGATTTTTGCAATGATAATAGATTGAAGTACTGAGACTGGGGTTACAGTCAGGGCATCGATTTCTCGGCACATCTTTGGGGCGAACTTTGGGACCAACTTTGGGATGTCTTCTGGGCCGACCTCTGGGTCGACCGCCAGTCCCCGTTATGTGCGCTAACATTCTTTTAATACTCGTTTCGTGTTTATTATTATCATCGGTTAGACCATTGTTTGTGTCTATCATTTCATGTCTAATAACACTATTTTTGGACAATAGATCTGCGCCTAAAAAACAATAGTTAAACGGGATTAGCACTGATTAAGACTTGGATTAAAAGTCAATTACCAAAAATAAATCCATTATCATTGGAATTATCCACCACTTCATTGACCACAGAATTGAATTCGAGTCGATTCTCGTTTGATTCCAGTTCTTGTTTAACAGAGTCGACGGAAATGTGTTCATCAATTGTGTGCAAACCTGTCGTACATTCATTGGACATCTCTTCGTTCATTTCAACACAATTATCACCACTAATTGGTTCAGTTTTAATCGCAATTTCATTGGTATCACAGTTGATCTCAAGTGGTAGACGAGTACTTTTTGGCACAGCAATGGGGATATACAGACTCTTCAGCTGTAGATCCTCTTCATTAATGGGATAAATATCACTGGAAACGCGTCCATCACTTTCGTTGCGTCCGTCGCTCGCAATTGTCTTCTCATGAGTACTGTCCACAAAATTATCATCTCTTATTGTGTGCGGTGTTTTGCGCTTACTTTTAACCGCAATCTTATTGTTTTCACAGTTGGTCTCAAATGGATCAGCAGTTTGTGGCAGAGATAGGCAGAGGGCGAGCAATTGCTGCACGTCGTGACCATTAATACTAGAGTTATCGGCGGAAACACTTCCATCGCTTTCATTTAAACCGTTGCTCTCATTTGGCTTTTGGGCACTTTTTGCCACACAATTATCATCACTAATTGGGTCCGCTTTGGACACAGTATCGTCGATACGATCGCTAATCGTATCAATTGGTGGAGCCGTGTGTTGGCGCCGATGCTCGTCAAACGCCTCACTATCGGTGCACTCGAAATAGCAGTTCATTTGGTCGCAGATATAAATCTTGGAAACCGTGCAATAGATTTGATGCTCCAGTCGTTCGGCGAGTGTCTCGAATCGGGCCAAACATAGGTCACAGTAGAGTGCCTTCGGGTGACAGTTGCGGTGATGCGTCTCAAAGTACGACTTGGAGTCTGTGGCGAATATATTGGAACCAATGCAGTACTCGCATCGGTAGGTCAGAGGCCTCGACCGCCACTTTCTAGCGCTTTCCGTGCGGTTCAACTGAGCCCCAGATCCCGATGTATTGGATGCGACGCCTTTCGTGTCGTTATTTTGAAGCAATGAATTCATTAAAAGACTGCCTGAAGAGGAAGAATACAAT